AAAAGAAGAAATGTTGACGTTTAAAGTCCAGCTGCTCGTGAGACAACAAAACCTCTAAGGGCAAAGCCTGGCCTCAGGGTCAACACACGAGCACCTTAAAAAAAACGTTCAGCGGTGCAACAGTGCCCCTTCTCTCTATGAGTCGGCCGAGAGTGGAGCAGGTTCGTCAGCTCTGCTGACAGCTGCTGGAAACCGCCACGATTTGAATATTCCTCCCACCCGTAGGCCTTTTAGCGCAACGCAAAATGGGGAGAGATGAACACTATGAACGTTTCTTTGTACCATACCGAAGCACAGGTACAAGCTTGATGATGACTACAGGGAACAGTTTTATGGTGTGACTGGTTTATGTGCTATTCCCATAAGACATTTACCAAGGCAGTCAGGATAGCTCTTCTGTCTTTGCAACTTAGCTATGCTGCTCAAATCCTGCTGGCAATTGCTGGGAGTTGCAATGAAGGAACCAAGTGGTGAATTTCCCCTGTAGGGCCGTATTTTCATGGCTCTGGCATTTTTGTTGTTACGTGTGCACTGCCCAGCCATGAAGGAGAGGATGGGAAACTCTTCCCAAGCCTGAGGATCTCAGTTGCGCACGTACACACAGTCTGCAAAAAGGGACCTAAATGAGGGGCCGACAGAAGGACCTCCTCTGCTGCTCTGACGGGCACCGGGGTGTCAGGGCGGCCCTCCAGCATGGCACAGGACGACAGCAAGGATAAAAGCAGCTTAGGGGTACAAGTCAGGTCCTTGCCAAACCCAGATCAACAGCACGCTGATGTACACATGCTGGGAACCACAGCAAGGGTTTTGGCTCCCAGCTCAAGCAGGCTCCCGAGAAGGGAAGGAAACCATTTACATGGTCAGAGCAACAGCCACTTAAGGGAAAAGTAGGTTTTTATCTGTTTGGCGTTTTATTTGTATGGGTTTTTTAGACATATAGAGATCGCATTATGTTTTCTTATCATATATACCCCAAATTATTCTTTTTTTGCATGAAGTTCTTTCCAAAGTCTAACTGATCTGGCTGTTCATGGGTAAATCCCAAACTAAAACTTCACTTTACTTCAGCTGCAGCCTGTAAGAGCAGATCCGGCGAGTATGCAGCCACCTGAGTAGGGCTGGCACAGACCTTGTGCCTCACCTAGGCCCGTCCCTGCTCATCCGGGGCTGATGTTACAGCTCATGTCAGGGACCCCAATGCCTTCAGAAAGTAATTAGCCGCCACATGAGAACTGCAATGCGGGAGGCTTTTCTGCCAGTCTCCACAGGCATGTTGCTCCAGAAGTTCACTCCAAGTTAAAACCCTTCTGATAGCAAGACTAATTTTATTCATAGCCAATTTCTAACCTTACATGCTCGTTTCTCCCTCCTTGATATTTCTGCAGAACTGATTAACATACATAGCCTCCCATCCTCTTTGGTTGACTAAGAGTCAGGCTCTTCTTAGCAAATGGGCTCTCCATGCTCCCCATCGCTCCCCTGAGGCCACAAAACTCCCCTGTCCCTGTCCCAGTGGAGGCAATTTTCGTGGCCAGGGGTGGTGGCAATGCTTTTCCACACTGTTTGGGCCGACCATCCACACCCAAGTGCCTGTCAGCCAGGATGTAGCCATATTCCCTTTGCGGCTGGTGTTTATGCATCTTTGCCTTCCTGTGACAATGAACGTCGATCACCCTGTGCATATGCGGTACAGCAAGCAGTACGGCAAGCCTGGCTCCCGTTTGCACACTGAGGGGAAAGATGTGTCACCACTTGATGTCAGCATAGCCCCAGGACTTTGCAGAACCCAGCACAAAAATGTGCCTCTGTGCAAAAAAAAAATGTCTTTAAACAAGCTGTTTACATTTTGCAAACCTCTGTCAATTAAGGAACTCTTGTAGGCATAAGGTAATTACTCCAATTAGGTTAATAAGAGCAACACAGAGCTTCAGAGGCTGTATTCTCCCCAGAGCTTAGTTTGCATGTTAATTTTTTCTTACTTTGTTTGTTTGTTTGTTTGTTTGTTTGTTTACAAAATACACCTTGACTGAAATGCTGTGTCCTTGGGAATGGGTTACAGTGTACTCACTCATGTATGGCACTGACCTTCCTTTTTTGACATCGATATTACTGCAACAGGCCTTACTTTTTAATTTTCATATTATTACGGAATACACAAAAGGACAGGATTTTAAAAACACAGTCCTTGCCTCACACGTTTCTGAACGTTACTGGAGTGAGGGAGCATGAGAACACAGGTGCAAAAGAAGCAATTAGGAAGAGGGAGGGCTGAGAGTGGTGGGACAAGTGGTTGGGGCCGTGACAAGGTGGAAAAATAGGATAGGGAAGGGAAGGAGGGTGGGATCAGCCTGCAGGAAGGGTATGAAGTTTAAGGGAGCAGAAATGATGCAAGTTTGAGCCCATGATGTGCCATGCTTGGTCTGTAGCAGGGGAATGGCATCTCTGACACAGGGGAGGGGAACACCTGCCAAGGCAAGAGGAACCGGTCACAGCTTTCATTATTGTCGTCAGCTTGATATATATTTATCAACCTCCGTATGCTTATTATCCCATTTTCACAATGTACTCTTCTTGTGCCCTTCCAGAAACTCAGCAAAACTCACGTCACTGAAAACAAGGCCATAGCAGGGGTCCTTTCAAACCCCTCTGCTCTGAGCCATCTGTGCTGGAGATGGTCGTGTGGAGTTTTTTTTACTCTGCCTTCCCTCCTGCCCCATTTTGCCACTGGCTGCTACACATGCTCCTAAAAAAAGATGTGAGATACCCTCTGTGATCGACTCATGTGCTTGTAGCCCAGTTGCTTCTGGCGCTCAACCTACCCCAGGCCACGCTTGTCTCCCCACGTAGCACCGGGCTGCGCTGTGGGGATAGACCCGCAATCTGTGTGACAGACAAAGAGCTGCTGAACTCCACAGCCCTGTCACCGCCCTTGGTAAACCCCTTACAGCAAAGCACTTTCTTCTCCTCCACTTCATGACTTCTTCGTTTTCCAGATAGGTCACTCTTCTCCCACCTCCTGCCTGATAAAGCAAAGGCAAAAACTCCCCCGTGCCCTGACTGCCATTGCCTCCCTCAGAGTACCCATCCTTTCACCTCAGGCATCTCAGGTCCACTAGCCTCCACTCAATGAGCCCTGCACACGTTGTTACTTCTCCTTCCCCAGAGGCAAGAGCCCTGCAGAACCTGCAGATAGGTCACAGCAATTGCCACCAGCTCCAAAGAGACTGAGAGGGCACAGGTTAGGTTTTACTGTGTCCTAACTCGGTAGTTCTTCTGCCTGAGGGGTTGATTTGTATGGCTCTGTGTCAGAATGTGGTTTAAGAAGGGAATTTATGGGATGAATGTATTGTGGAGCTGCAAGTGTTCTTTGCATAGATGAAGTGGAAATGGAAGCAGGAGATTCACAAAGGAGAGCTGGGTTTTTTGAATTAAAGAAGAAGCTATCACTTGCAAACACCTGTTTAAGAACAACAAAATGTCAGTGCATCCCTCAGGTCAGACTAGTCATCAATCAACCCAAAACAGGTGAGTGTGTTCATGTCTAGACTTGGTCAAGAGCTAGTAACGCATGATGCAAGTTACTCTCCTTTACGTACCAAAGTACACGCTCCTTGTGTGAAGCACATTTATCAGCATGCATGCCTATAAGCAGGTCTCAGTGGATACAGAAGCTACACAACTGTCAGCTGCCAGCAGAAAGGAAGCACCTACCCCAGAAAGGGTTAATGCTCAGTGAGGTTAAAGTGGGTTATAATTCAGGGAAAAAAAAAAAAAAGTAGTTTTTCTTGCCATATCCGAAGGGCATTGTCATTTCCAAAAGCTGGAGGAACGTGCAGTCATTTTGGAGGAGAGTCAAAACTTCCATTCTGGTTAGCCTATAGATTGCAGGAATTCCTGGGGGAGTGGGGCCAGGGGGAGGAATATAGCCCGGGGAGGTTTGAGTCTCTCCAGTGGCTGCTGTTTCCACAGCAAGGGTTTTATTTGAGGATGCAATCCCAGCCACAGGGTTGTGTAAGCCTCCTGAGAGCTTGCGCGCGATAAGGAAAAACATCTTTTAGGTAGATGCAAGCTCTGACATCTTGTACTTCTGTGCACCAATTGCTAAACCTAGTAATTGTTGTTAATATTGCAGTCATTAAAATAAATTCTTCCTTTACTTTTACCTTAGCCTTTCTTTCCCTTTCCCTCCCTCTTTTAGCTGAACATCCTTTTCCTATCAAAACTGCAACCCAAAAAAGCAAGAACAAAACAGCCATAGCTGGCAGAGCATATGCACAGGAAACACCATATTACTTATGCACTTAGGTGTAGCTTCAGTGCTAGATAAGGGATTTCAATACGATGGTTAATTTTGCCCTGTGATGCACGTTATCCTGTTCCCCTATGAAAAACTCAGAAAAAAACACTCTGGAGTCTGTTCCATTTGAATGAGGCTTGTATGATTTTTCTCCCTTTTTCTCTGACAAGATCTCCCTATTAGCCTAACCTGGACCTCAGGGGAAAATTGCTAGAGGATGGTCTACAAACAAAACTAAATACAGGATTTTCCGGCAAACTCCTGGGACGCTGACACAGTCAGAAGTGGACAATGAGGAAATAAGAAAGTGCTTTGAGTTCACCTTCTTATGGTCTGCTCTAATGGTAGGAGTTTGTCTTTCAAAAGTCACTTAAATAAAACTGGTTTTGAGAGCTTGTTAATACAGAGGTTTAGATTTCTTATCAGTGGTGGCTGAAATACTTCCCTGAGCTTGTCCAAGTACTTTATGAGTTTCTCCACCGGCGCTCAAACCCCTGCTTCTGAGGTGTCCCTGACCCACGCCTGTTCCTCTTTCTATCTGTCTGACTGTAGCCCCCGATGCCATGGGCAGGAGGCCCCGCTGACGCCGGGTGTTGCGATTTAAGGGGTTGCTGTGACCAGTAGGTCACTTCCTCTGCAACAGATATAACAGAGAAGAAGCCCTGTCCTGACCTCAGCAGCTCCAGC